TAATCAGCGCCGCCGCCCCGCCCCGCTGACCAATGGGAGGTGGCGTGGGCAGGAAAGGGCTCCCCCCCTGCGCTCCGGGCGGTGGGCGCGCCCGGCCTCGCATTCCCCCGAGGGTGGGGCCGCCCACAGCCAATCAGGAGCGAGAGCTCCGAGTCCCCGGGGTGGGCGGTACCGGGAATTGCGCCCCACGGCGGGCGGGAGGACCCACGGTCCCAGACCCCTTTGGGGGCATAGGACCCATTTTGGGGGTCCCAGACCCCATTGGGGGGGTCCGACCCCACATTTATGGCTCCCAAACCCATTTAGGGAGGTCCCAGACCCCATTTATGGCCCCCACACCCCAAATTGGGGGTCCCAGACCCTATTTTGGGGGTCGCAAATGCCAATTTGGGGGTCCCAGACCCCGTTGGGGGGTCTCATCCCACATTTATGGCTCCTAAACCCTATTTTGGGGGTCCCAGTCCCCATCTGGGGGTCTCAAACCCCAATTTGGGGGTCCCAGACCCCAGTGGGGGGGGTCTCACCCCAGATTTGAGCCTCCCAGACCCCATTTTCATGTCCCAGTCTTCATTTGGGGGTCCAGACCCCATTTATGGCTCCCACACCCCAATTTGGGGGTCCCACCCCACATTTATGGCTCCCAAACCCCATTTGGGGGGGTCCCAGATCCCATTTATGGCCCCCACACCCCAATTTGGGGGTCCCAGTCCCTATTTTGGGGGTCCCAGACCCCATTTGGGGGGTTCCAGTCCCCATTTGGGGATCCCAGAGACCAATTTAGGGGTCCCAGACCCTATTTTGGGGGTCCCAGTCCCCATTTGGACACCCCAGACCCCAACTGGGGGTCCCAGACCCCAATTTGGGGGGTTCTCACCCCACATTTATGGCTCCCACCCCCACACTGGGGGTCCCAAACCCCATTTTGGGGTCCCCCCAAAAAAAAGCTCGCAGCCGGGGGCAGGTTTGATGCTTTATACAAAGCCACGAGAGTTCCGGCAGGAAGGCAGCCCTTTTCCGGGCGGATTCATCCCAAAGGATATGAGGGACCCGCCCCCCCCATAGACCCCCCCCCTTGACCCCCTCCAGAGCCGCCCGCGGCCCCCCAACACCCCCCACTCAATGGGGGGTCCCCCATGGATTGGGATGGGGGGTAAAGGGGGAGGGGGGGAGGGGATACTGTGATGCCCCTCCCCCTTCCGAGGGGGACCCCAAAGTGGGGGGTAATGGGGGGAATGATGGGGGGGACCCCAAAGTGGGGGGTGAAGGATGGGAGGGACCCCAAGTAGGAGGGGATATGATGGGGGGGGGAGAGCAAGGGGGGGAAATGATGGGGGGAAGACCCCAAACTGGGGAAGGGATGAGATGAGGGAGGGGGGAACCCCAAATGGGGTGGAGAATGAAGGTGGGGAGGAGGATGGGGGGGACCCCAAAGTGGGGGGAATGATGGGGGGACCCCAAATTAGGGGGAAGAAGATGGGGGGACCCCAAAGAATTGGGGGGCAAGGGCATGGGGACCCTATAATGGAGTTTGGAGACCCCTAAATCATTGGGGGGGCAGTGAACCCCACGACCCCCAAGCGGGGGACCCTAAACCCCCCGCCCAGAGCACAGAGATGGGGGGTGGACACAGGACAAGGACACCCCAAGGCCACCAGAGCAGAGAGAAGGGGGGGTGGGCACCCTAAGGACACCCCAGGACCTCATAGATGGGGTTGGGGGGGGATGGGACCCCAGGACCCCAATATAGGGGGGGTGGGACACCCTGAAGTCACCCATGAGCAAGATGGGGTGGAGGGAACATCCCAAGAGAGTGGATATAGGACACCCTAAGGACACCTCATGACGCTCAAGATGGGGGGGGGGGACACCCCCTAAGGACCCCCAGGCCCCACTCTGTGATAGTGGGGGACCAGCAGGACCCCTTAGATGGAGTTGGGGGGGGGACACGCCCTCCCCCAGCACCCTCCATATGGACCCTATGATGGTGTGGGGGCCACCCCATGAGCTCCAATGGGGCAGAGGGGGCTCCCCCATGCCCCTGCCTGCCTCTTGTTTGTGTGTGTGGGGCTGGCCCCAAATGCCCCATGGGGGGGGCGGGGTCAGAGGGGCAGGATCTGCTCCAGGAGGCTCCGGGATGCCGGGGGGATCCGGTCTGGGAACTTGACCTCGAACTCGATGACCAGGTCCCCGCGCTGCTCCGGGGCGCGCGGCAGGGGCAGGCCCTCGCCCGGGATGCGCCGCTTGACGCCGGGCTTCAGGATGTCCTGGAACACCATGGGAATGGTGCGGCCGTCCAGCGTCGGCGTGTGCACCGTGCACCCGCACAGGGCCTGCGGGGACAGCGACGGCCGATGGAGCCAACCGGCACCCAACGGAGCCCAGCGGCACCCAATAGAGCCCAGCGGCACCCAATAGAGCCCAGCGGCACCCAACAGAGCCCAGCGACACCCTACGGAGTCCAGCGGCACCCAATGGAACAAACTGGCACCCAATGGAACCCAGCGGCACCCAACAGCACCCAATGGAGCCCAGCAGCACCCAATGGAACCAACCGGCACCCAATGGAGCCAACCAGCACTAAATGGAGCCCAGCAGCACCCATTGGAACCAAACGGCACCCAGTAGAACCAACCAGTACCCCATGGAGCCAAACGGAACCCAATGGAGCCCATCAGCACTCAATGGAGCCAAACGGCGCCCAGTGGAGCCAACCACACTCAGTGGAGCCAACCACACTCAGTGGAGCCAAGTGGCACCCAAGGGAACCAACCAGCACCCAATGGAGCCAACCAGCACCCAATGGAACCAACCAGCACCCAATTTAGCCAAGCAGCACCCAGTGGAGTCAACCACACTCAATGGAGCTGAATGGCATCCAACAGAATCAACCAGCACCCCATGGAGCCAACCGGCACCCAATGGAGCCCAGTGGCACCCAATGGAGAAGGATGGCACACAACGGAACCAACTGCACTTAACAGAGCCCAGTGGCACCCAACGGAACCAACCAGCAGCCAGTGGAGCCCAGCGGCACTCAATGGAACTGAACACCACCCAAAGGAGACGAGCAGCACCCAATGGAGCCAACTGCACCCAATGGAGCCAACCAGCACCCATTTGAGGCAACCACAATCAGCAGAGCCAACCAGCACCTAATGGAGCCAACCAGCACTCAATGGAGCCAACCTGCACCCACTGGAGACAAGCGGCACCCAATGGAACCAACCACACTCAATGGAGCCAACTGGCACCCAACGGAGCCAACCACCAGCACCAAGACGAACCCAACCTCAATGTCCCCACCATGCCCAATTTTCAGCCACTACCTCCCCACCATGGCCAGAACCAACCTTCACCCACTACATCCACACCAAGAGCTACCCAGCTCTGATACCCCCATGAAGACCAACCCGACCTTGACATCTCCACCATGAGCAAGACTCAACCCAACCTTGTCATCTGCACCATCACCAAGACCAACCCATCCTTGATATCCCCACCATGACCATGACCAATCCATCCTGATGTCCCCACCATGACCAAGATGCAACCCAACCTTGTCATCTGCACCATGACCGAGACCAACTCATCCTTGATGTCTTTGCCATGACCAAGACCAAACCAACCTTAATGTCCCCACCATGACCAAGACTCATCCCAACCTTGTCATCTGCACCATGACCAAGACAAACCCATCCTGTTGTCTTTGTCATGACCAAGACCAAGCCATTCTTGATGTCCCCACCATGACCAAGACTCAACCCAACCTTGTCGTCTCCACTGTGACCGAGACCGACCCAACCTTGATGTCCCCTTCAAACCAATCCAGTCTCGCCATCCCCACCATGACCACGATCAACTGATCCTTGATGCTCCCTCCCACCATGATCCCAACCACGCGCCCACCTCCCGGAGGCTGATCTTGGCCGGGTACACGATGTCGGAGCCCTCCCTTCGGAAGACCCCATGAGGTTTGTCCTTGAGGACGAAGACGACGTCAGCGGGGATGTTGGTGGGGGTCTGGTCTCCTTCTTTGGGGAAGGTGATTTTGGTGCCTTCCTTCCAGCCCCGCTTCACTTCGATGGTGAGGATCTTGTCCTCGTTCCTCACCGTCTTCCCGTCGGGATTGAGGCGCTTGTGGGAGATCTTCATCTTCTTGGTGCAGCCGCTGTAGATCTCCTCGAGGGAGACCTTGAGGTCGTAGAGGACGGGGGGGTCCTGGCGGCGGGCGCCGGCCTGGCGGGCACGGGGGAAGCCCACGTGGAAGGTGGTGAAGGGCTCCTCGTCCTCATCGTCGCCGTTGCGCTGCACGAAGAAGGTGTCGAAGGGGTTGCGGCCGTCGAAGAACTCGGCGAACATGGCGTGGGGGTCCCCCCGGAAGGTGTAGGTGAAGGTGGGGCCATTGGGGACCCCCCCGGGGCCCGAGCTGGGGGTGCCCCCCTTTAGACCTGGCACAGGGAGAGGGGGAAGGGGGGGGAAGGGGTGGGAAAGGGATGAAGGGGATGGAGGGAAGGGGATGGAGGGGAGGGGATGGGGAGGAGGGGATGGGGAGGAGGGGATGGGGAGGAGGGGATGGGGAGGAGGGGATGGGGAGGAGGGGATGGGGAGGAGGGGATGGGGGGGGAGGGGATGGGGGGGAGGGGATGGGGGGGAGGGGATGGGGAGGAGGGGATGGGGGGGAGGTAAGGGGATGAAGGTGGTAGAGGGATGGGGATGGGGATGGAGAGATGGGAAGGAGACCGAGGGAAAGGAATGGAAGGATAGGATGGGACAGGGATGGAGGGAAGGGAATGCAGGTTAGTGACAGGATCCCTGCTGAATGCCGGCGTGGGGCAGGGTGTGGGGCTGGGCATGGAGCTGGCTGTGGGGCAGGCTATGGGGCAGGGCATGGGGCTGGGGCTGGGTGTGGGGCAGAGCGTGGGGCGGTGGCGCTGAGGGAACCGGTTCTACTCGGGCACAGACGCCGCTGACGGCCCTAACAGGCCCCAACAGGCCCAGCCGGCTCCAGCATGCCCCAGGCTCCTGCCCCACTGCCGGCCCCATAGCCTGCCCCACTGCTGCCTGCTCCATGGCCTGACACCCAGCCCCACAGCTGGCCCCATAGCCTGTCCCACTGTCAGGGTCATGGCTGACCCACCGACAGCCCCATAACTGACCCACTGCTGGCCCCACAACCTGCCCCACTGCTGCCTGCTCCATGCCCTGGCACCCAGCCCCACAGCCTGCCCCACTGCTACCTGCTCCATGGCCCAGCACCCAGCCCCACTGCCGGCACCATAGCCTGCCCCACTGTCAGGCCCAGGCCTGCCCCACTGACAGCCCCATAGCTGACCCACTGACAGCCTCATAGCCTGCCCCGTGGGCCTGCACCACTGTCCCACTGCCAGCCCCACTGCCTGCCAGCCCCATAGCCTGCCCCACTGCCAGCCCCATGGCTGACCCACTGACTACCTCATGGCCTGCTCCACTGACAGCCCCATAGCCTGCCCCATGTCAGGCCCAGGCCTGCCCCACTAACAGCCTCATGGCCTGCCCCATGGGCCTGCACCACTGCTCCACTGCCTGCCTCACTGCCTACCAGTCCCATAGCCTGCCCCACTGCCAGCCCCACAGCTGATCCACTGCCAGCCCCGTAGCCTGCCCCACTGCCAGCCCCACGGCTGATCCACTGACAGCCTCATGGCCTGCTCCACTGCCAGCCCCATAGCCTGCTCCATGTCAGGCCCAGGCCTGCCCCACTGACGGCCTCATGGCCTGCCCCATGCGCCTGCCCACTGCCTGCCAGTCCCACCGCCTGCCCCACTGCCAGCCCCATAGCCTGCCCCACTGCCAGCCCCAGGCCTCCCCCACTGCCAGCCCCACAGCTGCCCCATGGCTCACCCTCCTCCCCGTACTTGTCGAAGATCTCCCGTTTCTTGGGGTCGCTGAGGACGTCGTAGGCCTCGGCCACCTCCTTGAAGCGCTCCTCGGCGCCGGGCTCCTTGTTCTTGTCCGGGTGGAAGCGCAGCGCCTGCCGCCGGTACGCGCGGCGCACGTCCTCGCTCGAGGCGCCGCGGGGCAGCCCCAGCGTGCGGTAATAGTCCTTGCCCATGTCGCGATATGATCGCGATCGCGGACCCGGTCCCGATCCCGGCCCCGCCGCCGCCTCACTGAGGCGCAGCCGGAACCTTCCAGAGCCCGCCGAGCGCCTGGCACCGCCCCCGCCGCGCATCTGCCAATGGGAGAGCGCTACGCCACGCCCCTCCGCACGGCTGCCAATCGGAGAGCGGTGCGTCGAGGAGAGGGGCGGGGCGGGTGGTGGAGGTGGGAGGGGGGGTGGTTGCCATGGCAACTGTGACAAGCTGCCATTGGTACCACCTCTGCCTCCCCCCCGGGAGAGCGTCACTATGGCAACGCGTCGGCATCACCCGCCATGACAGCACCGTCACCATCACCCACTGTGACACCCTGTCACCCATAGACACCCTGTCACCCCTAGTGACACCCTGTCACTCCATAGACACCATCATCATCACCCATAGTGACACCCTGTCACCATAGACACCATCATCATCACCCATAGTGACACCCTGTCACCCATAGACACCATCATCATCACCCATAGTGACACCCTGTCACCCATAGACACCATCATCATCACCCATAGTGACACCCTGTCACCCATAGACACCATCATCATCATCCATAGTGACACCCTGTCATCCCTAGTGACACCCTGTCACCCATAGACACCATCATCATCACCCATAGTGACACCCTGTCACCCATAGACACCATCATCATCACCCCTAGTGACACCCTGTCACCCACAGACACCATCATCATCACCCATAGTGACACCCTGTCACCCATAGACACCATCATCATCACCCCTAGTGACACCCTGTCACCCATAGGCACCTACACCCGCAGTGACAGCCCGACCCTGCCTCCTACAGCCACCATCATGCACAGCACCAGCATGGGGACATGGAGACACTGGGACACAGGGACATGGGAATATGGGACATGGGGATATGGGGTTATGGGGATATGGGAATATGGGGATATGGGGATATGGGGACATGGGGATATGGGGATATGGGGTTATGGGGATATGGGAATATGGGGATATGGGGATATGGGGACATGGGGATATGGGGATATGGGGTTGGGGATATGGGGTTATGGGGATATGGGGATATGGGGTTATGGGGATATGGGGATATGGGGTTATGGGGCTATGGGAATATGGGGATATGGGGATCCAGTGACATGCAGATATTTGGTTCTGGGGATATGGGGTTATGGGGATACCGGGAATATGGGGATATGGGGATACAGTGACATGCGGATATGGGGTTATGGGGATACGGGAATATGGGGATATGGGGATATGGGGACATGGGGATATGGGGATACAGTGACATGCAGATACGGGGATATGGGGATACAGGGACATGAGGATATGGGGTTATGGGGTTATGGGGATATGGGGATACAGTGACATGCAGATATGGGGATATGGGGATACAGGACATGAGGATATGGGGTTATGGGGTTATGGGGATATGGGGATATGGGGACACGGGGATATGGGACATGGGGTTCCTGAGGCCCCGCCCACCCGAAGCCCCTCCTCTCTGCCGTCGTCCCGCCAGCCTATTGGCTGCCTCCTCCTTCTCCCACCCCCGCCTCCTCCTCCCATTGGCCACGGCGCGCTCAGGAGTTCCCGTTGCCCAAGCAACCGAGAGGGAGGGGGCAGAGTGCAAGGGGCGGGACCGCCGCGAGGGTAGGTGGGAGGGGGGGCCACACCGCGCGCGCTGATTGGTTGTTCCCTCCCAGCCCCGCGGCAGCGATTGGCGGGGGCGTGAAGAGGCGGGTGACGTCAGCAGGGGCCGCCGCGCGGGAGCAGCCATGAAGCACTACGAGGTGAGCGGCGGCACCGGGGGCCCGGGCCCGGCCCCAACCCGGCTCCAGCCCCGGGACCGGCCCCGATCCCGCTCCCGGCCCCGCTCCCGGTCCCGGATCCGGTTCCAGCGCCAGGGACCCGCGAGGCGCCGCTGCGGTGCTGCGCATGCGCCGGGCACGATGGGCAGCGCCAGGGACAGTTGGGGGGGGGGGGTATGTGCGCATGCGCTGTGCGGCGGTTGGGTGTCCCCTATGGCCCTGTATGTGCACTGTACATGGTGTGTGCATGCGTACAGGGTGGGCCTTTATCGGTTATATATGGCATATATGCACTATGTACAGTGTGTATATGGACTGTATGTGTAAATACAGTATGTACGGCATGTATATAGCATGTACAAAGTGTGTATATAGTATGTATACAGTGTATATATGCCATATATATAGTATATATGTTATATATACTATATACATATTATATATAGTATATATACATATTACATATAGAGTATATGTGCAATATATGTAATATATAGTAGATATCGTGTATATATGCTATATAGTATATACAGCATGTATATAGTGTATATATGGCACATATATAATGTATAGTGTCTGTACTATATATGTATAGTATATATAATATATATCATATATACTGTATGTATAATACATATACATAGTATGTATCATTTATAGTGTGTATATGCCGTACATATAGTATATATAGTACATATACTTAGTATATATCATATATATTGTGGATATATATTGCATAGATGTAGCATATATAGTATATATAGTACATATACCCATTATATATAGTATATATATGGCACATACATAGCATATATAGTATAAATACATGTATATATACTACATACACAGTATATATACAGTGTATATATAGTATATATAACACATACCCATATGGCACATGTAGCATACACAGTCCCAATATACAGCTGTCGCTATAGTGGGGTCCCAGGGGTGCCAGGCCCCATTGGGTGTCACGGGTGACCGCCCCGTCCCTTTATGGGAGTCCCAGACCCCCTTTGGGTGTCCCTAAGGGTGCCAGACCCCCTTTGGGTGTCCCGAGGGGACAGCCCCCATCCCCAAAGCCCCATCCCATGGGTGCCAGCCCCTATTTGGGTGTCCCCAAGGCTGCCGGCCCCTATTTGGGTGCTACCACATAACACACACTGCACACCCCCCCAGCACACCCCATGGGTGCCACCACCCTCAGGGTACCTTGGGGGTCCCATTGATGGGGGGGGGGTGTCCCTCCTTACCTCCTGTCCCCTGCGTCCCCTTCAGCACCGCCTCCCTTTGCCCCTCATGGCCACCTCCAGGGCCACCTTTGGGGCCACCATGGCCAAGAGCCACCCCATGACGTGATGGCAATGGGATGGGTGCCATTGGGTGGTGATGCTTGGGGGGGGGGGGGGGTGCCTTTATATTTAGCAGCACCCTGAGGCCCGATCAGGTTTCGGGCCGTGCCCAAGGGCCATGGAGGGGGCCCCGGTGGCTCTGTCCCCATTGCTGGAGCTGTGGCACCGGCCTCCCCCCCCACCCCCCAAGAAGCTCAAGAAAGCCGCTCTCTTCTTCGAGGTGGAGATCCTGGATGCGCGCAGCCGCCAGAAGCTCTGCTTCCTTGACAAGGTACCCATGGACCCCCCCACCGCCCCACAATGGGCTGAACCCCCCCACTGCCCACAATGGGGTGACCCCATCATGATGATGGGGATGGGGGGGGGACACACAGCACCCATCCCCTTTCCTTGCCCTCCCCCATCATAGGTAGAGCCTCATGCCACCATCGCCGACATCAAGAACCTCTTCACCAAGGCCCGTAGGTGGCAGCTGGGGGCACCCATAAGGGACACTGGGGGCACTCATAGGGGGACATTGGTGGCACCCATAAGGGACACTGGGGGCACCTATAGGGGGTCATTGGGGCATCCATAGTGGGGACACTGGGGGCACCCATAGGGGGGACATTGGTGACACCCATAGGGGGACATTGGGGCATCCATAGGGGGACATTGGGGGCACCCATAAGGGGACATTGGGGGCACCCATAGGGGGACATTGGTGGCACCTGTAGGGTGGACACTGGGGGCACCCACAGGGGGCCATTGGGGCACCCATAAGGAGACATTGGGGCCACCCATAAGGGGACATTGGTGGCACCCATAAGGGGACATTGGTGGCACCCATAGGGGGGACATTGGTGGCACCCGTAGGGGGTCATTGGGGCATCCATAGTGGGGACACTGGGGGCACCCATAGGGGGGACATTGGTGACACCCATAGGGGGACATTGGGGCATCCATAGGGGGACATTGGGGGCACCCATAAGGGGACATTGGGGGCACCCATAGGGGGACATTGGTGGCACCTGTAGGGTGGACACTGGGGGCACCCATAGGGGGCCATTGGGGCACCCATAAGGAGACATTGGGGCCACCCATAAGGGGACATTAGTGGCACCCATAGGGTGGACACTGGGGCACCCATAGAGGGACATTGAGGGCACCCACCCCGGGTGCCATTGTTGTCCCCAAGGGGCCACCAGCACAGTGTCCCTTGTGCCCTGCAGATCCCCAGTGGTACCCAGCCAGGCAGTCCCTGCGGCTGGATCCCAGTGAGTGATACCCAGGGGATAATGTGGGTCTATAGGGGTTTATGGGGTGTCTACTGGGGGGTCTGTGAGGGCTTATGGGGGGCTATGGAGGTTTTATGGGGGGTTTACGGGGGTCTATGGGGTGTCTATTGGTGGGTCTGTGGGGGTTTATGATGGGCTATGGGGGGTTTATGGGGGTCTGGTGGGATCTATGGGGGGTCTATTGAGGGCTATGGGGGTCTATGGGAGGTTTATAGGGGTTCTGTGGGGGTCTATTGGGTGTGTGGGGGATCTATGGTGTCTATGGGAGTCTATGGGGCATTTCTTGGGGGGTCTGTGGGGCTCTATGGGGCCTATGGGGGGTCTATTGGGTCTGTGAGGGTCTATGGGGTGTATAGGGGGGTCTTTGGGGGTCTATAGAGTCTATGGGGTCTATGGGGGTCTGTGGGGTCTCTGGTCACCAGACTGTCCCTGCAGAGGGCCGGTCGCTGAAGGGATGAGGATGTGCTGCAGAGCCTCCCCGTGGGCACCACGGCCACCTTCTACTTCCGAGACCTCGGGGCACAGATCAGCTGGG